TGGCATGTGGTGCTGGGGATCGAACCGCGGTCCCTGTGCTTTGCCAAGCTTGTTTCAAGTAGGTGCTTTAGACCACTGAGCCATCTCTCCAGCCCCTGTTATGGGTTTTGATTTTCTTCTTGCTCTTTGAGACAGGGTCTTGCTATGTAAGGCAGGATAGCCTTTAGCTCACTATGTAGCCTGGGCTGGCCTTGAACTTGCTGTGTTCTCCTGTTGCAGTCTCCTGAGGCTGGCATAATAGTTGTGTACCACCACATTCAGCTTATTAAAGAATTTTGTGCCAACAGGTTAGGCAGTCTTTAGAGATGAAGTGAGTGTTAATAAGAGTTTGAAATTTTTTTTTTTTTTTTTTTTTTTGTCTTTTTGAGACAGGATCTTGATGCAGTTCAGGCTGGCTTTGAACTTGCAGCAATCTTCCTGCCTCAGCCTCCCGAGTGCTGGGATTACAGGTGTGGGCAGAGTTTGAGATTTTTTTCCATGAAATTATTTTGTTCTTTGTTCATTTTTCTATTGCAGTTCTTTTTGTAAATAAATTTTATTTGTAGGAACTTCATGTATAAAGAGATTTATTCATTGTATGATTTAAATTTTTAAATTTACATTTTTTCATTTTTAAATTTTTTAAAGAGCACAAATTAGAAAAAATTGCAAGTGATACAGTTTTTCACTTAAAGTAATATGAATTTCATAGTATTTGTTGTAATACATACTGCTGTCTTCCAACCAGTTATTCATATCACTGGATATGTGCGTGCAACATTGGAAGAAGAAAGTGAAATAGAAATGTCTAAGAAATTAAGACAAAAAGGACATGGGGGCCGGGGATATAGCTCAGCGGCATACGTGCCTGCCTAGCAAGTGCAAGGTTCTGAGTTCAATCCCTGGTATCGGGGGGAAAAAAAAAAGACGACAAGGAGAAACAATTGAAAAAAAGAAACGAAACAAATTAAAGCATTAACTGCTTCTTTCCATAGACCAGCAGAAATGCACAATACAGTTGTCCAAACCACCCTGCTTAAATACATAAATAAATCTTCTTCCTCCAGTGCCTCTCCTGTCCTTCTCCTCAACTCTTTCCTTTTTGAATAAGTTTATTCTCTTTTCCCAGTGTCTTATTATGTTCTTCAGATTCCATTTTTCTCTTTTAGGTTGCATTTTGTTTTTATTAGGAATTTTTCCTTCATTTGTGATTTTTGTGTTTTAAATATAAATGAAAAATTACTTTTTTGTTTTCAAGTTTATAAAAGCACATCCCATATTTTCTAAGCTCTTGCTACATTTTCTAAAACTGGAGGTGAAAATAGTATCTAAGTAGCATTCTGTTCTTCTCTACCCCAAAGTTGTTATCTGAACTGTTTGAACTCACTGTTTAGATTAAGAAACCAAAAAGACTCCCACTGTCAGGAATCCTTGTGTTTTTGTGATTTTTCTCCTTCCTCCCATCGCCATCTGACCCATAACTCCTTTCCTGCCCTACTGCTGCTCATCTCGTTTTCTCATCATACGTATGTATTTTAGTTCTGTCTGAAAGAAGAATGGAAAAACCTCATTAATCTTATACCTAGTGGAAAATTTACAGTTTGTGTATATATTTCTAATAGTCTCCTAAATGCCTTTATAGTTCTATTTTTGTTTGACTCAAGATTTATATAAAGCTCATAATTTGCAATTTTACATGTATTACATGGGTTTCTAGACTCTGAATTGAGGGTATTACTCTTTATAAACTAGTGCCCAACTAATTACTGAAGCTTTGTAAATTGTAATAATTAGTAGGGCCAGCCACCTTCTTGTTATACTCCAGCGCAAAAGGTATTATTTTTTTCTTCTCTATGAATTTTTTTTTTCTGTATGAATTTTAGAATCATTTTGTCTTAGGGAAAAACAACCATTGTACTTCATTTTCAAGAGAATGCTAACCTTGTATTGGTGCTGACATCTTCTGCCTAATAGGCATGTTTTTTCTGGTTAAATTTTCCTTTGTATCTTTCAACAGTATTTGAATTATTTAAAATATATTTTATTTATTTATTTATTTATGGAACCAGGGATTGAACTCAGGCCCTTGCACTTGTCACAGAAGCACTTATTCCACTGAGCCATCT